TTGATCATCCCGCCTGGGGTTCCAGGAGTCCCCACCCCAAAACCCCCAACGTATCACATGATCCGTACCACACTTTTGGATGAGTTTGATGTGGAAGTCCAAAAGTGTGTGAAACCTGTCCTCGCTACTGCAGCTACCTACGGTTGCACGATAATGACAGACGGTTGGACCAACATTCGGGGCCAAACGTTGTGCAACTATCTCGTCGGCACTACACGGGGCGCCACATATGTCGCGACAGATGTTATGCGAGGAAAGAAGGATGCCACTGCTCTGGCGCAGGCTTGGCTGCGAAGGTTGAAGTCCCTTGACATCAAGCTCGCTGACATCACCGCTTTCGTCACAGACTCTGCTAGTTCGAACGTTTCTGCGATGRAGGTGTTCCAGAAGGATGAGAGTGTCAAGCACATCTTCTGGATTCCTTGTGTGGCACACGTCATGGACCTCATCCTTGAGGACATCGGCGGCATTGACTGGGTGGCGACCCGCATTGCTCAGGTGCGTTTGGTCACAAAGTTTTTCAAGCGTCATAGCCGCGCTCGCGAAGTTTTGCAAGCTTTCACGACGAAGGCTCTGCTGCTTCCCGCCGAGACTCGCTTCGGTACGTATGTGATTATGATGCGACGACTTCTTCTGCTGCAATCGCATCTTATGCAGGTGGTCGTTGATGATCGATGGAAGGACACTGTTTGGTCAACGAAGAAGATTCGAGACGACGCCGCGGAGGTCACAGCATGTGTCGGTGGAGTTTCATCCACTCCAAATCTCATAACAGATTGGAGGTGGCGCGGGCCGAGAAGCTCGTGCGATGCCATTGGAACCTTCGGCTCCTCGACAGGCAGGCTATGTCGGACGATGCTCCCAGTGACAGGCCACATCCGTATGGGAGCTGGGTGCACTACTGGCAGCAGGTGGAGGAGGAGGTGCCCACCGACCAGCAGCTTGTGGCAGACCGAGGAGCCCGTGTGACGGTCACGAAGGAGGAGTTGACGTAGGCGAGAGAGAGGATGCGTGTCGTGTCCCGCATGGGAGCCACTCGTCGCTTGCGGGAGTCTGACAGGAGGAGGTGTCGTGGCGGCGGTTGCGGAGGTGGTCGTCGGGGCGGTCGCGGGCGAGGCGGGCGTGGAGGTCCTGGCGGGAGGCGTAGTGTCGCGAGTCGTGGAAGGGCAGTGGACGAGCTAGTACGCAAGCCTCGACAGCGATGGGGGGAGGGAGACTTTTTGTACGAGAGCTCGTCCAGCGATGACGAGGATTTCTTCGGGAATGGTAGGCCTGCACAGGATGGCGACAGCGATTTCGACGACCGTCACCCGAACGTGGGCGACGACGATGGCGCCAGTGGCGATGATCACGGTGACGGAGGAGATAGGCCACGACCTGCACATGGTGACACGATGCRCGCYGACRGGGCAGGGGGCGAGCACCGCACARCAGTAGATGACGCTCGAGATGGAGTGCATGATGATGGTTCACGACCTGTCTCGGGCGGTGACCTGAGGCGCTTGAAACGCGGACCAAGGGAAAAAGACACTATCGCTTCATGTGTGCGCAAACGTCATGGTGGGGTTGCTAGCATTCCACTATCACGAGCCCCCGCAACTGGGCAGATTTCAGTTTCTGAGGACTCTTTCAGCGATCACGGCGGCGAGGAGCGGATCGAGGTGCATGGCGGGAGCGGTCATCCATGAGGTGACACTTCGAGTATGCAYGCGACAGCTCCGATGGGGCCTTCCGCAACAGTCCCAGAATCGCAACAGGGTCCAGCACCGTTGATGCATCATCCCGAGGTTTAGGGAAAGACCAGTCCTCTCCCGGCAGTGCGGGACGAGGGTTCTGTCGGTGCACTGCATCCACTCATGTCTGCCGGAGCGGCAGTCTCAATTGCAGCGACCTCGGATGTGGGACAACCACTGGCAGCGGCGGAGCAAGAAAGTATGCTCCCACCTCGCAGTGTTCAACCGCGGCCACCGCCTGCATTGATGGAGGGGAGTCAGGGGACCGTTGTTGTGTGTCAAGGCGACGATCTCCCGRAACGTGATATCTCACACACTCCCGCAGCCGAGCAAAGCGCCGCAGACCATGTCGGCCTCGCATGCCCCACCGACAGTCTTCCGGGTACCGGCGAGTTACTGACCATGGACTCTGCGCTCGTTTCTCTACCGGACTTTTCGATGTTGATATCCCCAGGTCTACCCCATGTGTCACCGCCCAAGCCACAACAGCCTGTTGTCATGGAGCGTGGATCGGACGGGTTTGACGTGGCAGGAGGTGATATCGCCGATATGATTACGAGCCCAATGGTGTCTGCCACGCCCACAATTTTTCGTGTTGGCAAACTACGCGAGGTGGCCCTTGGTTTGGCGGAGACGGCGACGCGACACTGCCGCGACGGTCAGCGCAGCATCGCACAACGCAGTCTTTCTCATTCGTTTGACGGCGCAGAGGAAGGGTCTCCTGGTGGGTCAGTTGACACACTCGAAAGAGAAGCAAGACCCCCAAGTCCGCCGTCAAACTCAGAGCATCATCCGATGGCCGCGGCTGTCGGCGCAGATGCGGGCGTCCCCGTCACAAAGTGGCGCGGACGCGACAGAACAGCTTGTGGTTGGGTCATTGGCGACAGCACGGCGCGACAGAGCCACTGTTTTGCCGACAGTGGCATTCTATGCCAGCGGGAAGAGTACTGGGGGGATGGATGAGCAGGGAGTCCGGAATGTTGGCAGACCATCTGCACCATCTATGGGGAAACGATCCATTGGGAGTGTGGATGGTGCTCGACACACCGCCATGGCAGAGTTTGAGGACCGACACGGGAGTGCTTTGCCGACGAAGACGTCTGATGTCCATGCTACGAGATCCGCAAAGGCAAGCCTTTCTCAGGCAAGGAAGAAGGCCTCGACAAGGAAGGCGTCACGTTCATCCTCACATATGCGTTCCCGAGAGAGAGGATCGGGCGTTGTGCATCTCGAGGACGGAGAGATTGCACCTGACGGCGACGCATTGGATGTTGGAGGGAGGGATGCGACGACGACAGATATCGTCGGCAGGGAGGGCACCGGGAATGCAGTGGCAGGTCAGAAGAGACGCGGCAGTGTACTTATCGTCCACGACGACAGCACAGATGTCGCCCCGGGAGAGACCACAGACACTGATGATGCAGGGGACTCCGATTACGTACCCAAACCACGGGCGGCAGATGGAGATGATGGAGGAGGGCGACGAGTGAGATCGAGGACACGACTCGGGCCGCAAGGGCAGCGAGCACAGGGCACACCATCGGCGATGATTCCTGCCCCCATAGATCGGAGAGCTCAAGCGCAGCGGTTGCTGCGCAAAATGGAGGCCACTCTTCAACTGACGCACGGGTTATCGCTTGGCCGCGAAGAGACGGAGATTCAGAGACAGGGAGAGAGAGAGAGAGAGAGAGAGAGAGAGAGAGAGAGAGAGAGATTTATCAGATACTTGCGCTGGCTGCGTTGTTCGAGAACCAGGCGCGGGCTTTCACTAGGACGGGAGGCCATATGGCCTAGACCCGTAGCATGAGAGCCTATAGCCGGGCAGGCAGAGGCGGTTAGAAAATTGCTTCACTTCAGCTTGCTATACTTTTATTTTGTTACCCTCGCAGCCTCGGATCTTCACAGCCTCGTAGCCTCGTAGCCTCGTAGGTATCTTATTGTGATTGGTTGTTGCTACTTGTTCGAACTCTTGGGAGTCTTGGGAGTATTGTCTGAGAGAGAGAGAGATTTATCAGATACTTGCGCTGGCTGCGTTGTTCGAGAAGCAGGCCCGGGCTATCACTAGGATGGGAGGCCATATGGCCTAGACCCGTAGCATGAGAGCCTATAGCTGGGCAGGCAGAGGCCATTCAGAAAATTGCTTCACTTCAGCTTGTTGTACTTTTATTTTGTTACCCTCGCAGACTCGCAGACTCGCATCCTCCTAGCCTCGTAGCCTCGCAGAGTCGCAGATATCTTATTGTGATTGGTTGTTGCCTCTTGTTCGAACTCTTGAGAGTCTTGAGAGTATTGTCTGAGGTTGTATATCTATTCAGATGGTGCAATGTTTTTTTTTATTTTTTTTTTTATATCTATGCAGAATTGGAAATGGACCAAATGGTGCTTTTTTTTTTTTTTGAGTATCATTGACAAACCTTCAGCCCACATAGCACACCACCCAGCCAACATAGTCCCGCGGTACCACCCCCGAGCCCGTGCCGGCGTGCCCGCATAAATGTCACACCCTGCCAAGTTGCCAACATAGTACCCCTCCCACCGGGCCACCGTACACATAGTACCGCACCCACGCCCACATGGTACCCCACCCAGCCCACACACTACGTCACTAGACTCACTACCCCTTTTTTTTGTTTACACAATGTCACCATAATTGCCCCCAGCCCAGCCCACTAAGCACACTGTCGAGGGCCACCCTCCCATCGCCTGGCCACACCTACCCAGCTAGGACACGGGCTACTGGTAGCTACTAGCCAGACCTGCCTGCAGCTGGCGGGTCCGTCCAACATTCCCGCAGGGCGCCCACTGCCCAGTGCCCCCAAGGCCCCTAGGGGCCCCCACCACGCGCGCGGGCCCCCCCCGCCCCCCC